GAAGAAGCAGCCAAAGTCCAAAGCCAAGGGATATGTTACTCAAGACTCTACACATCTCAAGATATTATGAGAAAGTCTGGCTTCTTGGAAGCTAAATGTTAAGAAATATTGGGTTGTACAAGACTTGTACAAGCTCAATATCTTTTTTAAAATCATGATTCATAATTATTTATAGTAAAATGATGTTTTAATCTGCATTTTTGACACCTTGAGAATATAGTAACATTTCCCGTTTGACAGAGGCCTACCTCTGAGGCTCTCTCCATATATTAGCCATCGCTTTGGGTGGGGTTTGACTGATAAGCCAGAATAAAGCGAAGCTCTGCTGCAGCTGAGCTCCAAGAATGTGCTGGTTTGGCCCGGCACTAAGGTAAACACCCACCATGTTTTTATAAAGTAGCAAGGAGCGGGATTTGATTATTACAATATGGATCTGCTTTTGTGTGTGGAAAAAAGAGACAAAAAAAATGTAACAATGGATCTCAAAATCGTTGCTGTAAAAAGTTTGCCTCTGTTTTCATTTGCTGCTCGGTATGCTTTGAGATCATATTGTTCCCATACTCAAAAAGCAGGATGGTGATATGATTTAACTTTTGAATGATGGAATTTTGGGGGAAGAGCAAAAATGCTTTTCAGATTTTGCACACCCCATTTTGTATCAACCTCTGCCCGGCTTGGCAAAAAGCTGCTGTTACATCACTGTAACAGAATCAATCCATCCATTAATCTGTCCCCTTGATGTGCAAAACTCCTTTGTTTCAGGGTTTCACACTTCAGGTGAATCATTAAGATGCCAGATATTTTTCGTTCGATCAGCTTGACGTGCAATCTGTTCAGTTTTTACAAAAATTATCTTTTGAGTCTCTGCTTTCTCTGAGAATTACCTTTAAGAAATTTTTGTTAAAAGGTCTGAGCTGAAATGGAATCTATTAAACAGCAACGTGCGCAGAAGATCTTGCACATTTTTTCAGTGTTCTTGCCGCTGAAACATCAATTCTGAAGCGGAACACGTGTTGGAATCATGGAAATACTTTTCCCCCTACTTAAACTGGGATGCAGCTTTCTCTTATTAAATGGAAAGCTATTTGGTGGAGGACAACAGAAAAGGAGGATAATAAACAAGAACATGAACAAGGCCGAGCAGGGTCTCTGAGCAGAGACGTTCAATTGCTTGACTTGTCAGCAATTATTTTTCCTGACACTTTCAAGGGTGATTTTTTTTCCCCCCTCCATTTTTGACCTCAACTGGCTAAAATCTCTTTCGCTCTTCACATTACGTCGTGACAATTGTCACGTCGGAGCATTTTGTCCGGAGCACGTGCTGACCATATGTGGACGTCTGGCTGCTAAATCCCTCCTCGTCTTGCGTTCTGGCCTCATGGATTTGTCGTCACATTGTCAGACGAGTAATAAAGGGGAAGCGTGTTAACGGGGAGGAACTGCGATTTGAAAGTTTGAATATCCCCCGATGTCAAAATGAGGCGGAAAAAAGGCTGAGAGAAAAGCTCCAGGGTCCGCGCTGCGTCAGTCGGATGAATTCCTTCTGCTGGCCACGTCTGCTCACCTTCTGCTGCTGCTCAGTGTGTGTGTGTGTGTGTGTGTGTGTGTGTGTGCATCTGTGTGTATATGACGTCTCCTCAATTGTGAGACAATTGTACATCTGTGAATGTGAGTGATGAGCTACATTTAAGTGTCATTCATCAACCATTCCTTCAAGTGTGAAATCGGTGGCGTGTGACCAACAGCTAATCAAATCAAATAAAAAATACAACAAGCTTTCTCAAATATGAACACACACAGACACACACACACACATGCCCTCTTCTCTGTGTGTTCTCATTGGCAGCACAAAGGCTTTAGTTTGTGCTACGCTCAACATTTTCCCCTTGAAGTTATTTTCATGGCTTCAGCTTCACACACACTAACACACACACACACACACACACACACACACACACACGCGCGCACACAGGCACACACTTTCAGGCCCATAAAAAAAAGCATATTTTCTTTGTTCTTCCCAAATGTTAGCAGAAGCTATGCCTGACTGAAAGCTCTCCTCCTTGTGTAATCATTCCAGGGTAAATATTCTAAAAAACTAAGAGGGGACGCGCACCAGTCTGGCAGATCAAGGCCCGCGCGTTTCACTTATCACATGTTTGTCAGATGCAGTGTATTCGGATGAGATCAAAAGACAGTAGATGAAGGCCCGGGATGAACACACAGACACACACCTATGTCACCTTGAATGGTTCAGAAGGCTTGATGTCAGGCATGGGAGACGAGCGGCTGTCACCTGTCAGAGGCCTAAAAAGTGAAGTAAAACGCACGTAACGGATTCTGAATGCAGTTTGCAGGGAAAGTCCCGCCGAAAAACAACGCGTAAATATGCTAAACTCTAGATGGAAGGGTAGAAATATGCGCAAGGGGGAGGAATGAAGAGCAGAAAGGGGGCAGGACTGGATCCACTCCAGCCCCTGACACTCAAAGAGTCAGACCCAGCTGTGAAAAAACGGGGGGGGGGGGGGGTATGTGGGTCTGATGAATGCGGATCTGTGGGTGGTAAAAAGTGCTGCACCTACTTCATGTGTGTTTGTCTTGGAGAAAAGGCGTGTGCTTGTACCAGGGAAGTCTGCGCAAACTCTGTGGGTTCAAGAGCATTTGATCAAATAAAAGCATCTTTTCTGCCAGCCTGGAATGACCAGCTCATCAAAAGTGGAAAAGTTGAACAGGAATCAACTGCCCAGAGAAACTGAGTCGCGGGCGTTATTAAGCTTACTTCTGTAAACTTAAGAGATATCAGGATGGAGAAGCTGGAAGTGATCACTGTTGCATTTTATGATCATTGTCACCGTCCTACTTAAGATGAACTGAGTCTTTCAAGGGGTTCTGCCAAACTTACTGGAATGCTCACAAGCATAGCTTTTTGCAAAAACTTGAAAAGATCGAAAAATGCTTGAGATTTACGGGCCTGGCGTTGATTTGACCGTGTCAAAGTTAGAATGAGACACCCGGAGCCACGGGCAACAGCGCCTGTATAGCTGAAGAAATTGAAAAAAAACCCAAGAATTTTCTCCTCCGTCTAGCTGTTAGCTAGCACATCCAAATTCCTCGCTGATTTTCCAAACTAAGAGCCCTGCTGTCTGCAGGTAAGTTGTTAATGATTGCGTCGATATGCTAAGATAATTAAAACAATGTCAGTGCCCACTTTTAGGGATTTAATTGAATGTATAAATCCCAAAAAGTTTGTCCATTTATATGTCACAATTTCACTTGGAATAGCCTCCATAACAGAGAAGAGGTTTTATTTTTCCCTGAAATTAAGCTTCCATGCAAGTGGATGAAAATATGCATTTATTAACTCTGATCTTATGAAACTTTAACTTTCGAGACTGTTAAGTAAGGAGCTTACAGAACAACATTAACTTTGAACTTTTTGTGACCAATCTTTTCTTTTTCTTTCTTTCTTTTTTTTTTTTGGAACAGAGGATCCATCATATCTTTAGGGGCCCACCAGTAACCAGAGCCAGACATATCAATTCAGCCTCTGTTGGGAGTAGAGAATTCAGAGAGGAATGTACCGAATGTGATTTCTTTCAATTAGGCAGGCTCACAGAACCGGTGGGTTTGATTTAATGACAAACCACACTGGAGTGATTGAAGACATGTTGGAGGAACGAAAGCTGAGAGGTTACGGGGAGGAGCGCGGGCAGGAATGCAGGGAGAATTACAGGGGGAAAGAGGTAAGAAAAAGGGAAAAAAACCAAAGGAAAAACAGCAAAAGAGGTCAGAGAGAATGCGAGGAGAGCGGATGAAGCAATGAGATGAGGGGTGGTGAGATATCACAGGATAGAGAGCTTCTTTGACAGCTAATGTGACATGCATGACACTGGTTAAGCCGCAAGCCAAATTCCCAGGTCAGGGCTCTGTGTGTGTGAGTGTGTGTGTGTGTGTGTGTGTGTGGAAATGTGTGTGTGCTTGGAGAAAAAGAAGTGGGGAGGAAAATAGAGAGATCACAGTGATGTCCTGTGTTTGGATTCACCATCACAAGATTCCGCCTGCTGTCACACTTAAATCCTGCCAACAGACACACACACACACACACACACATGCACACACACTATTACAAACTGCGATTAGGAGAACAGCGGGCAAATTGAAGGTTTCACAACGACAGACTCTTGGAAAATTGCAAAAATATGCTAGTTTTCGACCAGCGATACTCTTCGGCTCATTTATGGTTTTATTTATTTTCCTTATTGAAAAAAACAAGCAAATCCTACATCATAACATACCAGCGAAGGTAATGAGTCAGATTAAGATGGCGAGGAACAAACACGGAACAAAGGTCTGTAAATGAAGGGCATCATAAAATTACGAAAAATATCAAATAAAAACAACTGATAGTCACTCGGCTGGGATCACACAACATCAGTAGTTCAGGAACTAGCAAGAAAGCACACATGATCAATACATTTATTAGCATTTATGCGGCATTCAAAACCTTCAATGCATACCTACACTTTACTGGAGGTCCATGGAAAACGGAAAATGGAGCGTTGGGAGTCACTTTCTCCAAGTCTCTATTAGCAACACAGCGCCAGACTTTTATATTGTCCATGAAATGAAGAGGTTAATGCGGGATCAGAGGAGCGTTCGGGTATCGCGGCCGTCAGCCTGACCTGCCGTTTTTCCGGCAAATCGACCCCTTGACCCCCGGCCGTACGGAACGAGGCCGACCTTTGACCCCGCTCGCTTCTCGCGTTTGTACGCTATTTACATTCGTTTGTGCTTCGGGTCCCCACGGATATCACGCTTGTTATCCCGGT